CAGGAAAAGTGACAAGATGCCAGATTGTTTCCAAGAAATGGCAATTTAACAAGATCGTAACAGCAGTGCCATATTTTTCTCCCTGAAAGAGAGCCCCAAACGAGCATCCCAAGCAAAATGAAGTCCTGATAGACGTAGCCCGCAAAAGAGCCCCGGCACATTTGGGGCACGTTTCAGTAATTCAGCTCCAGACGGCCTGATTGATGATCCTGCTGCTGATTGATGTACAAATCACACACACACACACCCCCCCAGCCCCAGCTTGCTCCGCTGCATCAAACGTTCCTCCAGCCTTTTTGCCTTCCCCAGAGCACAGCCCTCGAGCGAAGGGGGAATATCTGCAATCCCTGCGTGGGACAGGAAGGGAGGAGGAGGAAGGTCTTTGGCCTCCTGGGATTCATAGCTCAATACTAAACACTTTTATTTCCACTTAGAAGCCGGCAGGCAGTCAGGACATAGTATGTGGAGGCGGCAGAGTTTGTTAGCAGCTGGGCACTCATTTACCAGGCGGCTGCTGACCCACACAGGTGATTTGTATTCCCAATAGATGGATGGGGTTACCACAAATTAACTCAAAGGAGATGCAGGCAGGAATTAAGTGGTGAGGTTCTTCCGGTAAAGAAAAAAAAAATTAATTAAAATCAAATAGCTAAATTTTGGAAACCTGTATGTAAAACAGGAGCAAAACAGAAAAAAAACCACCCCAGAATTGCAATTTCATATATAAACTAGCAGAGAGAAAGCTGGATTTCATCTTTCTAGATTTTAACCTGCAGAATATAAGAACATCAACCGATGGAAGCTGTTATTCTGCACACCTGGACACCTTTTTTTGTGGGAAATAATCCTCCCTCCAAAGAGAGGTGGACTTTGAGATTTATTTGCAAAATGTTTGTAAACCTCTGGAAATCCTGAACTAAAAGGTACTAAAGGAAACCATCACTAGATATCATCATTTGACTGTTTAATAGATATCAGAAAAATTGTTAATGTTGATCTGGCATGTAAAAATCTCTATTACCTACCCAGGTAGGTTAAATCACCTTCTACAGGGCCTTATATCCCACGACAGGTAACAGGCTGGGGAACGGCACCCTAACTATAGGTCTCAGCTAATTGGGCAGATTTAACTGAAGAGCCCAGCTTACTCCAGGGTCCCGGTCCCAGCGCCTGATGAACATTCCTCTGTGGGAACATGGAACGAGAACTGGAAACGAAAGCAAAAAAATTCCCTGCCAGTAGTTCTCCTTCAGTTTCAGATTTTTTGGCACGTGGATGAACGTAACTGCCAGCCAGAATTTGGCCGTATGTGTCTGACCTGTAAAATAAGGCACTGCTTTCATTTGTAATAAAATACATCTGCTGTCCTTCAGCAGCCTGGAAAAGCGCACCTTTTGAGTGATTTTCCCTATGTATTTGAGTTCACTGAGCCATTTTTCCTGCTAGTGAAAACGGGCACAGCTCCAGTGCAGCTGACGGAGTTTTACTCACTTACATTCAGAATGGGACTCGGTATCATTCAAACATAAATAAATCCAAAGCACGTCATGGATTGAAACACGTCAATTAAAATAAAACGGAACTAAAAACAGCACCTAAGTGAATAGTAAATGTATTTGTCTCGTCTTTCCAGAAATTACCAGATTTTGCTCCTAAAATGTACTCTGCAGCAACACCGCAGATATCTTTCTTCCTACAAAGAGAAGTGAATTTTGAGAAGTTATTTAAGTTTTGGATTAAACCAGAGTAACAAATGCTGGGTGGAAAAAAGTACGTAGACAATACTTTACCATGGGCAAAACTGCATAGGATCAATACCAAAATACAGTCTGTGGTACTGTATACATGTACAGTGTGCGTTTATCTACATCTTCATTTGCACCGCTAAAACATGCGTTACTGTGCTAAGTAGCCACATGAATTAGCGGAAAGTCCATTTTCCCTCCTCCAAACGGGTCATTTATTAAAATTCTAAAAACTAAGTCGTCTTGTGTTTTTCTATTAGAAAAACAAAACCCAAAAGCGTGCCTGCGATAGAGCCACGTATCATCCTTACAGGTGCTAGACACAGCCTGCCTTCACCCGCATCCGTAACGTGGCTGGTTTCGGTATAGCTGCTATCACGAGTTACGTAAGACGCTCCTCGCCTCCATCGGGTTGTGACACAGGCTATAATTATAATAAAGGCTACAGATAACAAGCTTTTCTTTTCATTCTAGCATTTACATTATAACTACAATTGTCCACATATTTGATAAAACTAATTCAAAAACGGGCTCTGAAACCAGGCCTGAAAAGGCGCGGGATGGACACAGCTTCACAGTAACCTCAGATTCTACCAAACACAGAATATTCGTTTCCATATTCTCTTCTGCCACGCCATTTCTTTAACGGTGACGGGAAAAGCAGGTCCGCCAGGGTTTCTCCCGCTGTAGCAGCCGACGACGCTCAGCAGCTTCTGCCAGCGTCAATGTTGAAACCCCAGTTGACTTTAATATCTAGGGCTAGGATTCTGAGGTTAGCGGGAGAGAAGAACAGGTCTCCTCTAACGCGTCTCTCAGGGCTGGGAAGGATAGAAAAACAACCAGAGTCCGGACCTCAGCTTTAACCTCCGACTTCCACATTTCCTGAGGAAGAACCTTGAGCAATTAACTTCTTTCAAGACTTTGGTTGGAACTATCAACACATCCCAGGGGAAATCAAAGGCTAGGGCAAGGCAGCGCAAATGCCACAGGGCGCTTTTTTCCCCTACAGTTAAAT